GCTGATTCTGCTGAAATTTATGATATTCTGGCTGGAGTGGCTGTTTTGGCTGATTCTGCTGATTTAAGAAAAAATATTTTAAAAATATATTTTATTAATAAATTTAAGAAAAAATTATATGTAAAAATAGCTAAAATGGTCCTCTACAGTAACTTCAGCCAATACAGCCAGAAAAGTAACTCCAACCTTACTTTTTCGGCTTATTACACAATTCAGCGCGCGAAAGTAAAAGTTACGTGTTTGGTGAAAAAGCTGGCTGATAAGCCTGATAAGCCGAAAACAGAGTTCTCCAAACGGGCTCTAAATGTATCTTACAATTTGGGACTGAGGGAATAATTAACACCGTTAATTTGTTTTAACGGAATATGACACATAGATTAAAATAATTAAATTAAATCATCATATCATAATACCTAATACACAGTTGATTGAATTACACGACAGATACCCTGCAGGGTTACAGCCGCAACTCTTAATCAAGAGTCGATGCTTTCCTCAAAATTTTTCTTCTTCAGCTACTTCTCTGAATCCCGACCAACATCAGTAAATATCATCTGGATCGTTTTCCTTGTCACTATTGTTCCACAACTCTGCAAATTTCAACCCAACACCACTAATCACAATCTAAGGAGGTGGAACACCGAGTGCCTTTTCCCTAGCTACTTGTTTCCCTTAAATCCCTTTTTTCACTGTCAATTTTTTTCACTTCTCCAAAATACATACCTGTTGTGAGCTACTCTATGTCTTGAGATTGAATCTAGTTAGGGGCGGATCATAGTAGAGATCCAGGGTTACCGCCCCCAACAATTTTTTGTTAGTGTATATTTATATGAAAAATAATTTTCGTTCTCTCAAAAAATATTTTGTTTAGATAATCGCCCTCTCAAGACGATTTTTCTGGGTCCGCCCTGAATCCGTCTAAAATTAGACGGGGAAAAGTCATATATCTACGCGTAAAATTAAGACTAGCTCTGCAATCCCAACGATGGATATGTCCTCCAGACTCCGGTAACACTAGTCATTGGCAGTTAATATTACCTCTTGGACTATAACACTCTATGTATGGGCCACATCGAATCCGGGATCCTCTAAAAACCATGGCCAGAGCCGTTCAAGAGTGTGATAATGTCTAGACTCAGGACACCCAGTTTGGGTAGGACCCCTTTAATCCCTTAACAAATTTTACTTTTTAATCACATATCACTGAATTAAAAGGAGAAGAAAACTATTCCAAAAAAGGAGAAGATGACCTTAATTACCTTGAATGCTGGAGTTTCATGAAAATGCAAAGCCTAGAAGGAAATCTGGAAGAGTCTGCGGCAGCGTATCTCTCTGATTTTGAAAATGGAATTCTGAAATGGGACTTTCAAGTAGATGAAAAGTAATAAAAAATCTGTAATTAGCAATGACACACGAAATATCAAAAGTTTCTCAAGGTCAAGTTACCAATCTTGATTAGCTTTTCATGGCTACTTCATTCTATGGTCAAACGACACCATGGCTGGATTGGTCGCAGGACGAAGTTGAGGCGAAAGAAGAGGATATGAAGATTGAAGAGTCCGGTGCGGCTGGGAGTGGAGGAGTTTCGTAGAAGTTTGTGGAGGTAAAGATGAAGTTAAGACAGAAGTAATGAGGGAAGGTGAAGAAGAACGAAGAGAGATAGAGAGAGTAGTATGATCTGCGTGGCTGCCATGTCATCCTCCGTTAAATAAAAGTTAATGGTGTTAATTATTTGAGTCTTATACTGATGATTTATCATCTTTTAGGTCCCTTAATGAGAGCAATAATCTTTTAGGTCCAAAATTGATAGTTAACTCAACTTTTAGGTCTTAAATTGATAAAATTCCATATTAAAATTACATCATTTTTAGTGTCATGATATGATTGGTATATACAGAGTATGTAATTAATAAAACATTACCATATTATGAATGTTTATAAAATATAAGGAGAATTGTTAAAATAAAACTCCATTGAAAGAGGAATAATAGTGCATAATGGCCTACTATAATATCTACTGTCAGACTAAATTACTAATGAAATTTTCTTCTCCATTTAGACAAAGAATTTGTCAGCTTTCTGAGATTTACAAAAAGAGATATTTGTTAAATATATGAGATTTTTTATATGATGAAGTCCTTATTAGCATCTAAATTTGGTAAAGAATCAAGACAAATTTTATTAAGTTTTTCCTCAAATATTAGAAGTTGCTAAGCTATAACTTAAAATCATGTGTTTGCTTTTTCTACGTACCAACTACCAATGACTTCATTTATATTGCACGGGAATAAAATAAAGCATCCATTTGGAAGACCTTAATCTATAGGTTTCAGAATGAGTACCAATCGCTTCATTTATATTGCACGAGAATAAAATACAAGCATCCATTCGCAAAACCTTAATATATAGGTTTAATTAAAAGAAGACATTGTATATGTACAATGTGTATTCGAACTCAAGCCGTGAACTACACCGCCCTTAAGATTCTTTTTCCAAATTTACTTTCGGCACCCTCATGTTCTTAAATGCATGATCGCATGGGAAAGAAATATGGAGAGTTATTATGAAAATAATTCGTGTATTGTTCATGGATTCCTCTTTCAATGGAATTATTGCTTATGGTTAGTTTATATCATGAATCGTAAACCATAATAGATTTATCTAAATAATATCCTAAACAATGATTTCTATTTCTAAACTACACCTCCCATATTTAGAAACGAAAAATGGTCTCACTTCTCTTGATCAAAAGTACTATATTAGAGATACATCCATGAGTGAAACAATTACCTTTTATACACAATCTAGCTTATTTATCTATCTCTTAAACATCACTTTTAGTGTCAGGATATGCTTGATATATATGTAATTAATAAAACTTTACCAGAGTATTGAATGTTTCTAAAATATAAGGAGAAATTGGTAAAAAGAGATACCCATTGAAAGAGGAATAATAGTGCATAATGGCCTACTATAATAATATCTACTACTAAGCTAAATTATTAATAAAAATTTCTTCTCCATATAAACAAATAAATTGTCAGCTTTCAGAGATTTACACAGAGATATTTGGTGAAATATTAGATTTCTTATACGATGAAGTCTTTTTGAGAAATAATTTGTTAACTTCCATTTAGATATCTGAAAGTTTATTTATTACATATAGGGGTTCTTACAACAATATTACTAAAATAAAACTTATTTACATAAATATGACTATTCATTACAACAACATAGTGTTGTAGTAACTTAAGTTTAGAACTTGAACATGAATTACTATGATTTCATTACTATTCTAGTAACTAATCATATTTTTGTAAACCATCTTTATTTTGGTCATATTAATGTAATTATTTCTTACATATATAGCAATCATGTCCTCACACTAAAAGTATAAAGGGTAATTTTATTGCTCGTAGATGTAACTTTAATATAGTACTATTTGGTCACGAAAATTGAGATCATTTTTCGTTTCTGAATTTGAGACTTGTCTTTGTATTTTCCGTTGTATAGTTAGACATGTTTATGTTTCGATTATTAGCTACTACTTGATGTGAGACTCTTTGTATAGATTAAATTCATCTCACCATCTAGGTAAAAGTTGCATACTAAAAGCCTAAAGCATGCAACCCTTCTTTGTTCAATAACACTTTTTTTACCTAATTAGATTATAATACACTCAATAACTCAATCTAATGAAAAATATATTAACTGCTACCAATCAGTTACGCATCATGTTGTCACCGTCATCACCTTCATTAAAATCAAATTGTCACAAAACTACATATTCTAAACTCTTTTCTTAAGTAAATAGATCGAAGAACTAATTTGCTAAATACTAAATCCTAGAAGGGCTATTATCTTGAATGAAATTGACTGCACCTTTTATTAAATAAATAAATTACATAAATATGTAGTTAGTTTTTTTTTAGCCACAAACAAAATCTATTGGATAAAAATAGGCATAGAGCAATTATTTTTTTGTTTGGGTAAAGATCGTTGAAATTTGAAAAGACTAATATTATTTGGATGCAACTGAGAGTTATAAAAAAATTGTCCCTTTCAAATGAACAATATAGAGTAAGAACATGCTTAGATAATTAGTTAAAAAAAAGACATACTCAATAAATAAGAATATGTATTATTAACCGATGTTATAATAATAGACTAAATAAGCGATTTTTTGTTACTTATGATAAGTCATACATATGACAATGCACATACATATATAGTAAAACTAAAAAACAAATTCATTTAAAAATACTAGTATATTTAAAAATACTAGTATATTTAAAAATAACACTTTCTGTCTTACTGGATTGTCAACTTCCCTTTTTGGTTGTCCTTACTTCTCTCTTTGTTCAACTATCAATCACCCAATTTTAACTCTTGTTTTTTGAAAATTTGACAATATCTCACGAAACGGAGGTAATCATAATCAATTAATTATAGGGAAAAGGTGTAAATAGGTCCATGTACTAACTAAAAAAGGTCAAATAAGCCCTTATTTAGGAGGCTCTGTCCGGACGTCGTCATTTAGGATGGTTCCCGGTGGAATTTTTTGATGAATTTTTTTGAGCATTTTATTCGTCAAATCTAGTTTACTCATACCAAATTTCAACTAAAACTGCGCTTCAAGGCATTCAAAACATCTAATGCTCCCGATTTGAATATTTATTTAAATATTCAAAATTTCAACTATAACTGCGCTTCAAGGCATTCAAAACATCTAATGCTCCCGATTTGAATATTTATTTAAATATTCAAAATTTGGGCCAAATCCAAATCAGAACCTGATACTTCAAAATTTCTTCTCCTTATTTGCGGTTTGGACCAGAATATTCTCACCCCTAGGTTTAAGAACATGTAGCTATTTATAACTGTAATTGTTTCTTACAATTACTAGCTATTTATAACTGTAATTGTAATCTCCAAAAGAGATGAAAAACGCATGAAGTTCAAATTAGAAAATGATCGTGTGTTTGGACAGATGAAAATAACATAAATTTAAGAATGACTTTTGATTCAAGAATAGAGAGCAAGTACCAAATACCAATATTACTCGGCACATATTTCGTTTCACTTCAGAAGGGCAATAATTTAATTAAGGAGATCCAACGGGGGGTATAAGTGTCATGAAAAACCAAGTGTTAGACTTCCCACGTTATCACCAGTACCAAACTTGTATTCACCAAAGCTTAAAGATTACTGAACATTGATTGTTGTTGCCTCAAATGAGGAAATAAAAAACAGACAAATTCATACCACCGAAGTTATTGAAATGCTAGTTTTCAAATAAAACAGATTAACAATAATAGCAGCAGCCTTATCCCATAGCATACTTTTGTGTCCAGCTACGAGCAGTGAGCTCATATTTGGACTTGTCGTTCTTATACATTTGAGCTATTTCTGGTACAAGGGGGTCATCTGGATTTGGATCTGTCAGCAGAGAGCAGATAGACAACAGAACCTGAAAAAAAAGGCACCAAATAAAAGAAATTTAGGAGAGAACAAAGTTAAGATTTGCACCAAGGAAATTATTAGGCTCAGCTACCATCAAAACATGGATGCTGCAATAACATCAGTTGTTAGCACTTGGCAATGCCCCATACAGGCAAACAACATTGGGTAATGGAAGTATTCGCGCAATTTAATACTGAAGGGAGGATATTAAATTCCATTTTGTTTAGTAGGTAGGATTATAGGAATACATTTAATAAGAATGTATATACTCTGTATTCATTATGTTGTAGTGTTGTTTGGTAAACTAATGAATAGAGATGGAAAGGTAAGGAATAATGAGGTTGAAGAGCAACATGCCTTGGTATCTCTCATTTTCTTCCTTACCCTGTTACCCACATGGAAAAGCAACCCAAAGACACATAAGAAGTATTCCCCAGTTTGAGGAAAAGCATCTCAAAAAAAGAAAATAAAGACATGTACCAAGCGTGTGTCATATTTCTCATTCAAAACAAAGTGAAAAGGGAATATTTTCTCCATTACACCAACAATGCAAGATATACAAAAGATGAAGATAGATTCATCAAGTCACCACAGGAGAAAATGAAGTTATTCAAACCTTGGATATGGTTAAAGCTGGGCTCCACTGCTCTTTAAGAATATCTAGGCAAATACTTCCATTGCTGTTGATGTTTGGATGAAAGACTTTAGTTCTGAATGCAACCTGACACAATAAAACAAGTTTATTTATCAAACAACTCAAAGTGATGTCCAATGGAATTGGAGCACATTAGTATAAACCTTGATGGATTTGACCACTTAAGAAAACATGATTATATTTGACCTAACTTCTTTGAATAAAAAAACAAGTGTCCAATGGAACAGTGGCGGTAATATACTGATAAGGTACACTTCCAAACAATTAAAGGGGTAATAGGAAACCTTTGGTGGCTTAAAAGGGTAATCAGGTGGAAAGTGGATTGACACGAGAAATACTCCTCCAGTATATGGGCTATCTGATGGTCCCATAATAGTAGCTTGCCAATGGAACATATCTTGGGCGACGGGACCTGCAATAAATGAAACATCCCATGAAGCAAATAGAGGAAGCTAATGGTCAGAGAAAGTTTGTTTCACTGACAAAACAGATTAAATGCTCTGAACTCTAGCATATAACCTGTTGTTTAAGTTTTACAAACAGAGTTAAATTATTTCAAACAAATAAACAAGATGTCCTTAACAAATACTGTTTGTTGTTAGCTTTTGGGTTGTGTATACAAATTTTCCCAACAGATCCCAAATTGGGGGAACATAGATGTTGACAGGGGAATGTCAATGCTAGTCCATACTACTACATCTTTATATTCACACATTTCTCAATCATCTCAAAATTATTAAGATTTGTTGACAGGAAGATCATGAGATAACTTCTCTTGCTGCCAGCAGTCTCAACTCTCAGTCTCACTATGTCAGACGAGGCACATAACCATCTAGCATAATACCAATAGAATATTGGTATGAGATAACTTCTCTTGAATGAATGACTATTTGGTATGAGTAATACAAAGAGTTAATTTGGTCCCTTGACAAAAGTATTACCCGATACAGTATTTACTTCCTGTACTCAAATTGGTCCTTAACTATGCAATTTGGATCCATATGCAGGTCCTAAACATATTTGGCTCACACTAAGAAGGGCCTTTTAATCCATTCAAGTGGTTTAAGAAATAAATTGAATCCCAAATGCAATCAATAACCACATGAAGTAATAATTGATACCAACTACATCCGTTATTTAATCATACATACACAGATGCATATATACATACGTATGTATAAGCAACGATTCAGGAAGATGATAATTGATAAATGCTCAAAACTTAAGACATTGTGCTTTTGGGAGAATTACAAATATAGCATTTGATTACATTCAAGGTCTTCTAATAGATCCAATAGAACAGGCAGGTAAGATCTACTATGGTTTACATTGCCGTTATTCATTACTTAAGAACTGATTTTGTTGATTTGCATCCTGGGATTAACAAAGTTATAAGCATGATGTTTTAGCTTTTTACAACCTACGCACAAGCAATGGAGTGTTAATAATTCCGCTTTGCAATAAAACCTAAAACTATCATCAATGAGAAAAACTGCAAAAAAACAAGAGAAACATTAAGCATACCAGCACTACATGATGAGGGCGGATCCTTCTGCAGATCCTTGAGCTCCTTCAAAATGCGCTTTGAGGCCATTTATTAAACCGAACCGCTTAAACTTCTGCTGAATTCATTCACATTAAGCACATCGTTTTATTAGTGATCAATAACTACAGCATTCAAAAAGTAGATGGTAAAGCGGGTCGACTAACCTAAACCTAAATCCTAACAACCATCAATAAGTAAAACTCTACCTCACACGATCAAAACAAAACCTAGATCACGCTCTAGGCTGAAACACGGAAGATGCAAGCGCAATATGGCAATCGGGGGTCAGATTGAGAAAGAAGAACCTGAAGTCGGAGTCGTATGATAAGAGGAGATGAGCTGAACAAGAGACGACCTGGCGATTTTCGGTAGACGAAGAGCACGATTTATAAGGATTTTGGATTTATGAAACGACGGATCGGGGTCCACAAAAACTCTTCTAGAATTGTCCCAGTTTTGCGTGCAACCAACGGCAACCTCACCTCCCTATGCGGTTTGGACTGCGCAGGTACATTGTTCGTATTTTTTTTTCAAATCGTACCTTATTTGTATAATGGTTTGGTTTGAATTCACTTAAGTTAATCGGGGTAACAATTGTTTCACACCCAATAGTGTCATTTGATTTTCAACCAAAAAGCCGTAAATAAAACCGAACAATTAGTAATATTTATAAAGAGAAAAAGGTCAGATAGACTCTCGAATTTACATTAAAAAGTTCAAATCACTTCTTTTATATGGGATTCTCTCCGGCCGTCATCATTTGTGGCGGTTCCTGAAGAATTTTTTTATGGAAATTTTTGAGCATCTTATTCATTAAGTCTAGCTTATCCATACCAAATTTCAGCTAAAACTACAATCGGGAAGGTAGCCAAATGAATTTTTGAAGATAACTGTGCAGTTAAACAGCGCAGTATATTTCAAAAAATCATTTGACTGCCTTACCGGTTGACTTTTTAGCTGAAATTTAGTATGAATAATTTATAATTAATGAAAAAGATGCTAAAAAAAAATCATCAAAAAATTTCACCGGGAGCCGCCCCAAATGGTGACGGCCGGACAGAACCTCATATAAAAAGGGTGATTTGAACTTTTTATGTAAGTTCGAGGGCCTCTGACCATTTTCCCTAGGGATAATTACTATTCGCCCCCTGAGGTTATGTCATAATTATGAAGGCAACCTTGCATTTTCAAAAACCAATTAGTTACCCCCTCAGTTTGGATCATTCTCATTCTTTGCCCCTCACGTTAATATTTGTTAAATCAAATTTAATATAACTCTTATATTCAATGTCATTGAGAATAATTCAACCGGATGAATTTCAAATACTTTTATATTCATGATGAATAAGTGCCTATAATTTTGACAAAACATTTTTAAATAACTTTCTTTGATGTATCCCATGAATATTACTCGAGAATCTTCTCCTTAACTACTCACATTAATAGTTATTCCACGATCGAGTAACTAAGAAGAAAAATAACGATCAACAACAATGACTTATAATTATGATAATAAATTACGTTATTCTTTAGAAATTAATTTATAGACAACTTACATTGATTTTAAGAGTTATATTTAATTTAATTTAACAAATATTAACATGAGGGAGCATATAGTGAGAATGACCAAAACTCAGGGGGTAACCAATTGAATTTTGAAAATGCAAGGTTGCAATAATAATTATGACATAACCTTGGGGAGCTAATATTAATTTTCCCCTTTCCCTATTTATAAATTACTATAAAAAAAGTATTATACTATCTTCATCCCAATTTAGTTAGCAATCTTTGACTTTTCCAGATTAAGATGGTGAACTTTGACTAATTATTTTAGCTAATGTACTTATTTAAAATTTAATGATTTCATGCTTTTATAACAAAATTTTTTTCAAAGAAAATTTTTATATTATCAATATAAAAATATTGATAATATAACTGGTCAAACTTAGACACCATTGCCTTGAAAATTAGTACTTGGCTAACTAAAATAAGACGGATGAAGTATAAGTATGCAAACTTTAACAAATTGATCAAACCGACAATTTAATCAGTTTTTGACTTGCACTAGCAAGGTTTTTTCTATTAAAATTGTCAAAAAATTGTGAAATTTTGAAGAAATACAGATTAACTTTTGAAATTTTTTAGAATGTCAAAGTAAATGTTGTTTCATTTTTGTAATTATTTTTACATTTTACATTTATATAAAAGGTTTTAACATTTTTAATTTTATAGATTTACATATTCTCAATACTTTTTCAATTTTCCTGTTTTAGTTTTTTATCAATCGTTTTTGAATTATTATCTATTTTTGCACATATACTATTTTTATATTATTACATTATTTATCAAATTTATAAAAAAATTATAAGCTTTATCAATTGTAAATAACTTGTTGTAGCTGGTCAAAGTTGCAATTGCTTGATTGTACCTGTATCTCTAATATAAGAGTGTTATATAATACTTCTTCAGTAGCAGAACTTAAGTAGTAGATGGATCAATATAATTTTTTCACTACTTATAAATACACATTGTATTTGTCTTCACTCTTTGTCTTTAGGATATATATGAAAATACATGTTTAGCATGTACCATTTAAACTTATACATATCACATGCATTCATTATGACAAACTTAATTATCTAATAATAAGACATACTTGTTATATTTGTTATATTTGTTAGGAAATTGATGTAACGTACCTCGAAAGTACAACAACGGAAGTTTAAAATTTTTCCAAACAGATCGTCTCTGATTATGACAAAACAACGAATATAACAATAATAACAGATCTGAGATGGAACTTACAGATCTTTCAGCCTAGCGGTGATAATCCTTGACTTTAGGTATCCACGTGATTTCTCCTTTCCAAAAGAATAGTTAGATCTCCCAAAGAGAAAGGCTAGGAAATCTCTTCGCAGGGAAATAAACCGGTAATACTGAATCTAGAAAACTTGTCACACCAATTATGAAGGAGGAGGATATATTTATACTAGTTCTAAACTAGTATCTCAATCACAATGAAAGACTTTCTCATTAATGAGTTCTAGTCCTAACAGGACCAATAATTATTAATGAATTCATTAATTAAATAAACAAAACAAAATAAACTTATAATAATACCAAAGTGGCTGCACGTCACTTTGCTTGGTATTATTATTATTTATTTCATTTTCTATTTTCTTTTAATTCTAAATTGTAAAAGAAAATATCAACCTTATATAATTAAAAATACATTTTAATTAAGTATAATAAATCTAATTTATCACACTTAATTAATCCTATCAAATAGAACTCTCCTTCAACATCATGAATTAAATATAGTTTAATCTAACTAATATTTAATCCATTTTCAGTATTAGGAATTAAATATTATTTAATCCAATTAATATTTAATTCCTTCTAACGATTCAATCGGAAAGTATAATCACTTGTTGTGTGACCCATAGGGCCTTATATATTAAGCACTAATCAAATCAAGGTCTTAGTAGAATCCCTAGACGATTTACCAGACAATCTTAATATATAAGGACGTTTGCGAGGACTATTCAAACTCCGTGTAATATAGAGCTCATAGTGATACGGTCCTTTCATTCATTGAACATTCAACCAAGTCTAGAACATGATATTGTGTCTATTCTAATAACTTAGTCTCTGTCTGTCAATCTTTCTAGATGATCCATAACGATCATATTCGATATCCAAAACGAATATATCTTTGCATTGGCCAATGACTTTATGATCCATCTAAATATGAGAAGTAGAATGTTCTCTCTTAATCTACTATGAGGAATGAATCCTTTCTTGGCTCAACTACTACTCCATGTGCTTCGTGATGCACCCAACACATGCCGTATCTACCCCGATTGGAGTGCAAGCGTTGGTCATGGTCAAAGTACATCACTCCGCACATGTAGTACGTATTGACCTCAAGTCGGAGGACTATTACACTACTCTATATGCCGATAATCCCATAGACACATGAATAGAACTTATCAAATGGTTTCTCGGTGGGTATGCCAATATTCTCTAAAATATCTATGTGACCATCATGAATTACAGGAACTCATAGTTGTGAGATCAACTATACTTTCTAAAAGTATGATGCAGTCCACATACCAATCTTATCACATATCATCAATATCCCTTTCTTGATGATAATTGATTGGGGCTATTTTAGGACCTTATGTTATATCATATAAGCTCCCACTTACTTATTGACAACATAAATCCAAGGGAACACAATTATGAATAAGATATTGACAATCGAAATACTTAATCATCAATGTGTAATACCGTATATATCAAATATATAAAACTGAATGTGATCAAGTACATATATCTCTAAAAAGTGATTGTCGCTAGGACATATATACTAACAATCTCCCACTTGGCCTAGTGTCAATCACCGATGCATCTAACACCTAGGCTCTCAAAAGTCTAGTATGTTTCTCGCATCTCAAAGGTTTGGTAAATGAGCCAGCCAAATTGTCCTCTACAGGAATGCATTCTATTGCAACTTCTCCTTTTGCTATTTGTTATCCAAAACATGATAGCACACAGGTATTTTCTAGTTTCTTACTTTGCATCTTGGTTCCATAGCTTGTGCAAATGCACCAGTATAGTCACAATAACAATTATTGGATAATTGTTGCTAGGAACTACCCTTATTTCTTTAAGGAACTAACGTATCTAAACGTTTACCTAAGTTGCATCAAACGCAACAATTTATTAGGCTCTAATTGTCGAATTTAAAGTAGTTTCTTACTTGCAACTCTTGCAGCACCACTATTACATTGAGACTAAAAACATATACTGACTTTGACTCGTAGTCTTCCTTATCATACATGAAACTAGCTAGTGTTAGAATAATTAAATTCTACTAGTTCTTTTTGTCCACCATAAACAAAAAAATATTCATGAAGATTTTGGGTAATCATTCTTTCACGGACTTCAATGAGGGGATATCATTCTCTATGATCAACATATATGATTATAAAGACCACGCTATCCCTGCTGCGCACTCTAAACACGCAAGCACCTTCATTTCATTTGATGAAGTCAAACGATTTGACTATTTCATCAAAACACGCAAGAAACCCGGTTGAAGAGTCTATAGATCAATGTTTAGATTGTTCCCAGGTTATCGGGTTGGTATAGATGACATGTTTAAGAGGCCGTTTGGAACCACTGGTTTTCGGCTTATCAGCCTTATTAGTCAATTTTTTCACTAAACACGTAATTTTTGCTTTTGCACGCTGAAGTGTGTAATAAGCAGAAAAGTAAGGTTGGAGTTACTTTTCTGGTTGTTTTGGCTGAAGTTACTTGTTTTGGCTGAAGTTACTATAGATGATCATTTTACCTATTTTTACATATAATTTTTTCTTTATTTTATTAATAAAATATATTTTTTAAATTTTTTTCCCTTAAATCAGCAAAATCAGCCAATGCAGCCACTTCAGACAGAACTTCATAAAGTTCAGCAGAATTAGCCAAATCAGCCGATTTTCGTGCTACCAAACGGGCTCTTATTTTAACAAGTTTCCTTAAAAGTTACGATAGTATTTAACAAGTTATCAACTGATTGTAAACAATCATTTAACCAAACATCATTTTATAAATTGCTAATCAAAACGTCTAATGCAAACTGCCAATAATTAATTGCTGACACAATCAGCCAGCAAAACGCCTCCAAAGAACACCAATGTTTACGTTTCAGAAGAAACTTTATTTCTTTCAGGAAATACAACTTGAACATTTTGAGCTCACTTAGTCACTTGAAATGAACCGTGTTCTAGGTGATCCCGTTTTTTTACTACGGATTATCAACGTCTCATGTTGGATCATATTGAAATTATTATAATGAGCTTATTTGATCAAAATTTATTGGATCCTTTTGTTGAAGTGGCATGAATAATACTAATATCAGAGTTTAATAGTTTAGCCCATCGTATGCAGACATGCAGTATGCACAGAGAGGCTAAACCCGACCTGTTTGAATGATGGTGTGGGTTAGGCCTTCCCAAATGTCTCAGATCTTTCTTAGTTTGATTTTTATCATGCCTACTTGAAAGCAAATTGGTGTTAATTATGGGATAGAGGAATCGTGAAAAAGAAAAGTGCATCATTATATTGAAGGACAGGGGAAATACATTTTCCCGAAAAAAACTAGCAATTCAACCCACTAGAGATGTAAGTTATATCACAAAGCACAGCCTAGAAACCAACAATAAATTAGATTCATCAATATGCAGAAAGGTAACCACGCAAACTTGATATATATGTACGTAAATTGATCAAGAGAGGGAAAATCTCCTCCTCCTAGGCTTGGCAACTTCCAACCCACTATCATCATCGTCCAAATGTGAAGTATCCTTAGATCCCGGCTTGAAAGGGTTCAACTTCCCCAGTTTCTTCGAGACTGTGGAAAAGAATGTAGGCTTTTTACTAGAACTTGAGCTCCCTTTACTATTACCAGTTGAATTCCCTTTCTGCATTTCGGATATGACCATCTTCATCTTCAATAGCTCGGTTCTCAACGCTTCGTTCTCCTTCATCAGCGACACGTCGGCCTGCAACTGGTTCCTCGTGCATATGGCGGGAGCTCTCGGGGTCATCCGGTCTGAGTCTGCGGCCACGCCGCCGCTTCTGAGTTTGAGCTGGTCGTAGTAGAGGGCGTGGAGGACTATCTGAACGGGCAGCCGTTTGTTTTGAGAGGCATGAACTCGAGCCTCGTATGACAGCTTTAGCGGATCCATCACACTGCACACCTTTTCCCTTTCAATCTCGTCTAGCTGTGGATGTGCCTGCAAACAAGAAAAAATCAGCTAATATTACTCTTCGAGTCTTCGTAAACAAAAATGTAACTTAGTACTCTGTCACTTCCGCTAATTTTACTCTACATAGTACGAAGTAACTTTACATCATACAGAGTAGTAACTAGTACTCCCTTACTAAGTCCTAATAATTCATTAACATGAATGTCCTAATTCCCGTTAAAGTATTTATCTCACACCGGAAAGATTAAAACAATAAAAAACACTGAGGAGGTGTTTACTTCACTGCTAAAGTCACCGTTAGGTTAGTAAGACAGGTGAAGTAAACAGACACGCTGCTTAAAATGCCGCTTACTAACCGAAAGAGGTGCTTAAAGTGCTGCTTATTAAGCATACCACCCCCCCATGTATTAATTAAGCGGCACTTTAAGCATTTTCAGTTTCCGAATTTACCCCTTGCCCTTACCCTATTGTTACCCCTACCCCACCTACTACCCGACCCCACCTTACCACCTACCCTACGTACCCGACCCCTACCCCCTACCCACCCCCTACTCTTACCCCACCTACCCGACCCAACCTACCCCTACCCCTACCCCGACCCCACCCTACCACTACCCTGCTACCCCACACCTACCCTACCTACCCGATCCCACCCTACCCCTACCCTACCTACCCGACCCCAAACCTACCCTTACCCCACCTACCTTACCTACCTGACCCCCCTACCCCGACCCCCTACCCTACCTACCCGACCCCACCCTACCCTCACCCTACCCTACCCCGTCAGACCCTACCGGACCCTACCCTACCCTTACCCCACCTACCCGACCCCACCCCACCCTACCTAGGGTAGGTAGGGTAGGGGTACCCTAGGTAGGGTAGGGGTAGGGGGTCGAGGTGGGGTCAGGGTAGGGTCGGGGTAGGAGTAGGTCGGGGTAGGGGTTGGTCGGGGTAGGGTAGGAGTAGGGTGGGGCTGGGTAGGTGGGGTATGGGTAGGATGGGTTGGGTAGGTAAGGTATGGGTGGGTGGGGTTGGGATAGGGTAGGTGGGGTAGGGGTTGGGGTTGGGGTATGGTAGGTAGGGTAGTCATAGGGTGGGGTCAGGTAGGTAGGGTGGTAGGGCTAGGGGTGGGTGGGGTCGGGGTAAGGTAGGGCGGGGTTAGGGGTATGGGTACACATATTATATTATATACTTGTGTTTATGAATGTTTGTGTGTATATATATGTATGGGGTTATTTTGGACATTTTAATGTTAAACGGTGTTTTAAACCGTTTGAAGTAAACACGGTCTTATAACATTGTTTATTTTATGCGCCGCTTATTAACACGGATCTTAATAAGCACCGTTTAATAACCCGTGAAGTAAACATGTCCTGAGAGATATCCTTTTGACTATGGAATCCGGAATCTTAACAATTCCTAACCCTGAATTCCAAAACATACACTACATATTTATTCTAATTACTGACATTAGTACTCACATAATAATGTCTCTGATCTCTAGATAGAATAAATTTGAAGAGGTAAACTAAGTTTCCAAATTGTTACCTTCAGGTACACGTCGATTGCTCTGTAGAGGTCATCGTCGACCTTCCTGGCACCCTTTGGAACTAAATTTGCAATTCCATTAAACTTTGAAATGCTAAGCTCCCCGTGACTTGCAATCTCCGCAAGATATCCATCCACCGTCTTGGCAACCCTATGCACCGCCGCCGAGCAAACTTCCGGCCTGAAGTCTTCGCCGCCGTTGAACACCGCCACGTTCTTCTCTTTCTCCACAAACCCGGAAATAACCCTCCTCACGCTCTCCAAATCAAACAGCCTCCCCCCTTCGTTCGCCATAGAAAAGGCCAAAAGATCGTCCACCGTCGCTAGTTCAAGAAAAGCCGATATCCTCTTTTCCAGCTCGCTCCTGCAACCGCCGCCGGCGCCGAGCAGAATGGCCGCTCTGAGGAGACAACATAGGAAGTTGATCGGAAACGCGGTCTTTTCGGGCGGGAAGAGGGTCACGATCGACTCGAGTAGCTCCCGTTTCTGAATTCTGACGTCGGAATGGTCAGTTTCCGGCGGAGTTGATTGTATGCCGTTGCCGGAGTGGTCTCTGACTAGATCGCGTAGGGACCTCTCGGCGTACGTTATGATGGCCCTTGCTATGGTCAACGGTTTAGCGCCTCTTGCCTTTATTGCGTCAATGATTCTAGAAAAAAATTCTACATCAAGCACTGTGAGCTCCTCTGTCCACCAATTCGGCGGCGACTGGCTCGGAAAATTCGCCTCCAGGCATGCCTGAGAATCGAAATAAAAGATAAGTTACTTAATACGTTAAAATAAAAAATGTTTGGTATACATACATTTTATCTATGAAGCAGCTTCTAAATGAATTGTGACAGATAATTAAGGGGTGGACACCATGTGTACAAAATGTGTATCAACGCCATTTTGCTAGTTTTGTTATCAATGCTTGGATACACATTCAATGTATAACAAATTTGTACAAAACATTCATAAAATAAAATAATACTCCATAGAAAATATAGTAGCACTACAACATGCTAATTAAGAAGTACTTTAGCGTCATAAATGATCAAAATTCTATTAATATTAATACTCCTTATCAATGCAATTCGGTTATTCATCACGCCAACGTGCTATGAAGTAAGCATCCCGATAAAATATTTCATTTCCAGAGACAAGAATTGAGACGTTATTTACCTAAAATTTTATTTGTGCAGTTTCAGAATAGTATTTATAACTCTATTTTAAGAACCATGTACTCTATATATAAAATTACATAAACAAAGTGACTATGCATGAAGAAAAGTTGTTACTCAACGAAATTGATGGTCTAATTTGAGTGTAAAAAACCAGTTTCCCTTTGTTTATCACATCTTAATTTGCACCCATTTAATAAATTGTATTTGTGAAGTTAAATTCAATTGAGAAAAAATAAAGACAACATTAATTATTCATTCTTTTTTCCGAAATTTGATAAAAATTATACTCGTATTTATTACACACATAATTTCAATGTGAGAAGCTAATAGTATGTCAAAAGGGACTTGCCAAGTATTATGTCATTCTTTGTTTTTGTGTAGGAACGTATATTGAATATTAAGTTCCGACACAAACAATTGAAAACAACAGTACTAGACAAATCATTTGCGTAGATCCTACAATTAGGCATATAATCCATGTGTTTAAATATACTCCGTATAATTGAACTGATCAAGGACACAGACATAAAGACAATCTAAAGTATGCTCACCGCTAAGCTAACAAAATATCAAATCGAAGGACATTATCTCTCGTAGGACACTCCTATTGTCTACCTTTCACATCTATTCCATCTAGATTGCAAGGATTATGGAGAGTTAAATTTGATTATTATGTCTATGGTTTTTGGAGTGATTTACTCTACCATACTTGATCATGATGTAGAAATAGACTTTACCGTCCAAGATAAATAAAATAAAATAAATTTCAAATCCCCTTATTTCAAAAGATATTCCCGACCTTCACATTTGTCTCTTAATTAAGTTCATACTTTCATCATCTCCAACATCAACATGTGATTTTTTTACTCCAAGGGCGTCTGGGGAGAGGGACAAGGGATCTGAACAAATCAAGGCTGAAACTCACTCCATTGAGTTTCGAACTCGGGACCTTCCGTAAGGGAGAGTGAGTTGGCGACCAGTTGGGCTGAACCGCTTCCTCCAACATTTGATTATTAATATATAAGAATATGCACTTATAAAAATTATAATAAACTAAAATTTCAATATTATATATCAAAGTGCAATATCCAAAATTATTTTGGTATTAAAAAGTAGGGTTTTGAATAATTAATATTCACGTTTAACAAAGTTTGACTCAAAGAGTCAAATGGCTCGTTTGGTAGTTTACACGTTAAATCTTTGCACGCAAAGTGACTGAATGCAAAGTATAGGGAAGCAATCACTTTGCATGTAAAATAGATTACATTGTTTGGCTAGATGTGTAATTTATTTTTAAATTGCACGCAAAGTCGTTGCAGTGCTTCATATAAAGGCATGCAAAGTATTTTACCACTCCCACCTTAAATATTTTACATGTTACAGTGCAAATTATTTTAAAAAATGTCTTACAGTTTACATTAAATAATCAAACCAAACAGTGTAAACACTTTACGTTCTTACACTTTGCACAAAGTAATTATTTTACATCAAAACAAACGCCCCCAAAGTGTGAACTTTTAAGATAACGGGATTTGATAGTGACATATGAATTTTGACCCCGTTAAACTCAAGAAAAACCCTACCATTAATTCAAAATAAATCTCATAGCATTTTCTCTACTTTGATTTGATAACGAGATATATTTTGAATATAATTTGTTACTAACTCGATAGATCTGGACAATAGGGCCAATTCAGCAATGATTTTAGCAATATTAAGGATTTAAAGCCATTAAATATTGATGCATTCAACTCATTATATGCTCAAGATAAAAGTGATCCGTAGTACTTTGTAGCCGTAGTGAATAAGCAATTCTTTTTTATTCTATTTGATATAATTAATGTTAAAACAGATCTTCTTGGGTAACATTGAATTCTCTTGTCATACACATATTTTGTGTGAGAATTTTTTAATTGGTAGAAAGTGTGTCCAAATTAAAACGTTCATTTTACTGTCCCACATGCACATTTAATAAAGCACAAAAACGACAATTACATATTTACTTCTAAACTTATGTAAATTATCTATTTAATCGTAAATAGTCGAATTTTATTACCTTAGCACTGACAAGCTCAACGCACCGGTGCACGATTAGGAGATTCTCAGCCATGGGGAGAAGATCCTGGCATGTTCTGAGCACGACAACGGCGCCGGAAAGGCTCGACAGGGCGACGCGGGCGAAAAAATCCTCTGTCCGACCGACGAGGTTGCTCTCGCTTAACTTGTCGGTCATCTGAAGATACTCGGCGGCGCAACGGAGCGCGGCGACGTTATGAATCGTGATCTCGAAGTTGACGGCGTAACAGAACTTCGCCGCCTTCTCGAAGATATCCGGGCCGCCAGGTATATCCGACAGATCTATCCTCGTTAGATCGGTTTCTTTGTACTCTAGGATTAACTTTCTTATGAAATCGCTCTTTGCCGCCAACATAAACTGTAAAAAAATCTCGTTAATTATATCATTAAGATTTGAGCTACTCCTCCCAACTTCCATTTTATCCTTCCCAAATAGTTAATTTAGAAGCTTATTTATACCTTGTGAAGAGAAAAAGTGACTCCACCGACTTGAACTGTGACATCGGCTGGGATATCCTGAGAGAAAACCCTGTCAATTTAAAGATGAACAAATTAAAATTATATTCGTATTAGTTTATTTTGCTGAAATACAGCAAATTCAAAGTGTTAAAATCTTAAGAACGGATGAATATATACGAATTTTGTATACCATTGGCCAGTTCTTTCCATGGCAAGTGAAATTCTGCTGCTGCTGCTTTTCATTGGGGAGGCCATGTTTGGGAGTTTAAGTAGTGAGGGAGAGATAAGGGTGCGTTTGTTGAGGGAGAAGTATATAATACTACGTATAAATAGTTTTGCTTACAGAAGAAATTGGGAGGAAAATTAATGTTACTGTACTAATATATACTACAGTCGTATGTTGGACCTGTTTGGATGGTAGTATAGTACATTCTTGTGTACAGCTTTTTCTACCAATAGAATTTGATCCAGGAAAACACATCACATGCATGGGAAATTTGTCTTTCAAACTTCAGACTGCTCGGGGTAGTAGCTAATGGGTCAGTGATCCAATTTGGTAGGTCACTTAATAAATTGTACTGTTTCTTGTTCACTGCGCCGAAGCCTCCTTTGAATTCGTGCATCTCTTGGATATGACTAGGGATGACAATGGGGCGGGATTGGGACTAGGCATGGTAATGGGTCGGGGCGGGGCGGGTATTGCAAGACCCGGACCCGCCCCGTGATTTGGCGGGGCGGGTCCGTCCCGCCCCGTGACCTGCACGGGTCCAAACTTGTTGACCCATGACCCGCCCCATGCGGGGCGGGGCGGGTCCGCCCCGCCGCAACCTAATTAGCTAGTTTTTGTTTGTAGGAAGTTGTTACCAATTGAATCTACATAATATTTATCTTTAAATAATAATTAAAACTCAATATATTAAATCAAATTCATGATACGCTAAAAATTTCAAAAATTAAGAAAAAATTACTCAAACTTGAATAGTTAATCTAATTAGTTATATTAATAATTGAATAAATGTATTAAAATTCTATATATATAAAGAAGACATTGATAATCCGTCGTGCATCTCATTCTAATATATATTCATATATTATAAGATCAAAGAATTTATGATTTATTGTACACACATATGTATGTTGAAGTATATTTGTAGTATAAGTTAAGAAAAAGTATGTATATTTATATATTGAGCGGGTCGGGGCGGGTCGGGGCGGAACGGGTCAATTCTAATACCCGGACCCGCCCCATTGTATAGGCGGGGCGGACCCGCCCCATTTGCAAGACGGGGCGGGGCGGACCCGCCCCAAATGTCTCGGGCCAGGGCGGGTCATTGCGGGTCGGGTTTTTTTGACATCTCTAGTTGGGGCGGGGGTTCACTCCCCCATCCCCCCGCGCCGTGTCTAAAAAATCGCCCCCACCCCCGCCCCATCCCCCACTACTATTCGACCCACCCCATCCCCCGCCCCGACCCTCTAGACCCACGGGTACCCAACGGGGGAAGTACTCGTCAAAAATTAACATCATTTTAGACTGACAATTTTTCAAAAATTAAACAACACTTCTAGTAGCCAATTTTTTTTACTTTTTAAGTGTCAATGCAATCTTACATCCCATTTCAAATCTAGAACACATTATACGCGTTCTAATTTAGCCATTTTTATCAAACTCTAAATTAACATTGATTGGCTCTTTAATATTTTCTTAAACCCTGCATTCAATCAATTATGGTCATTTGACGGCATCTAGGATGACTTATGACCACCAAATTTTAAGAGCCCTAACTACAATCATAAAGATGACATTCAAAAGAAAAGAATTAATGCATTGTAATAGTAAAGGAAAAAAGCTTTCACACCGTGCCTGGGGCGTTTAAGCTAATATCACTTTATAACTTTCCCAAATTCATTTTACTTTATCCCTAAAAAAATCATTTTACTTTATGATTTTGATAAGCAATTTTACAAGATAGCTTAGTTATTAAACAAGAATTAGATAGACCCATTAGGCACAATCCATTAGATAGGAAACCACTAAACCCACCGGGCCACCATGCTATTTTAATTACTTCGTATTAGTATTACTATTATTATTAGTATTATTATTGAGATTATTATTATTAATTATTACGGGGGACGGTGCGGGGGGTGCATAACCCATCACCCGCCCCATATTTATGCGGGGAGAAAATATCTCCCCCACCCCACCACCCGCCCCACCCCACCACCCGCCCCAACTCCACCCCATGGGGCGGTTCCCCACGGGCCCCCGCCCCCATTGCCATCCTTAGATATGACTTAAATTCTCCCATATGCCTTATCGGGTCAGGACGTGAGAGGTTGGGATTCAACCTTTTGGAACAGTGTATTCCTTGGATATCTTTGCCACGTTTTGCCGCCAGGTAGGGTGTCTCGCGATCATAGGCCGCCAGATGGAATTTATTCACTCATCCCAAACATCTGCTCATATCCTTCTTGTCGTTGGATTTGCGCAAGGCGCGCTCTCTGTCGTGCGTCAGAGGATCCGTTTCTCTATCACTTACTCATATTTTATTATGGAATATTTTTATTATGGAATATGTAATTTGTCAATTTTTTGGAATCATGTCAGTATTGGCTGATTTCTGAATATCATATAGTAGTATTGAGCTGATTTGTCAATTTGTGTTACAATTCATCAGTTTTCTCGTTTCAATCAAATCACTAAATTGGTGACTAATTACTCTCGCTACATTTGTACTGTGTTATCGGATTTGGTAGCATGTTCTTCTTAAATTACTCTTGCCAGATTTGTGCTGACTTGATATCAACAATCTTCCAAGCCCTGGTAATCAAAGGCCTAGAAAACTTAAAAGGAGTAGAAAATGAAGACTGAAGTACTACAAATTTTCATCAAGATAGTCTTTGTGGTCGAGTTTCAAAATGAGTATTAATTGTGCTCCAGCATAGGGCCGTAGATGAGGACGTGCAAAGCGTGCCTTTGCATAGGGCCTCCAAAAATATAAGGCCCATTTTTTGTAAAATTAAATATATAGGGGAGTTATTTTTGAAAATCATTATTTTATTTGCCCGAATGATCCAACTATTCAGTTTATCCAACTAAAGGTAAAAAATTCACTTTTTCTTATCCTATTTTCATTCGTTCATTTCCGCTTTTAGATTTTTTTACTAATTTTATTTGTTCAAGTTCTTAAAAGTGATCATTTCTCAATCTCACATTTGTTTGTAGTTTTTTTTGGGTTTTCTTAAGGTTGATTTTTGGTATTGTATTGATTTAATATAAAGCCTATTTTTCGTGACTTACACCAGGTCTCCTAATTTTTTGACCCGGCCCTTCTCCAGCATAACAAAATACGGAGTAAGTAGTCTAGCATACCACATGGTTTCATTTTGCAATGATAAGTAGCACATGTAGAGGCCGTTTGGTAACATTGTTTTCGGCTTATCAGGATTATCAGCCAACTTTTTCACCAAGCAAGTAATTTTTGTTTTCACGTGTTGAATTGTGTAATAATAAGAAAAAGTAAGGTTGAAATTACTTTCCTGGCTGTATTGGTTGAAGTTACTGTAGATGACCATTTTAACTATTTTTGCATATTTTTTTTATTTTATTAATAGCATACTTCCTCCGTTCTTAAATAAATGCAACGGTCAACATTTCACACTTGTCGAGACACAACTTTGACCATTAATATAAATGATTTTGTATTAGTAAAAAAATTAGATTATGAAAATTTACAATGAGACAAGTTTAACAATATTTTTTCATAAAATAATATTATTACATTAATAAATACAACGTAGTCAAAGTAGAACATGTGAATAGTGTAAAAGTCAAAGTATTGCATTTATTTAAGAACGGGGGTAGTATATTTTAAAAATATTTTTTCCTTAAATCAGAAGATTCAAACAATGCAGTCACTTCAGCTACAACTTAATAAATTTCAACAGAATCAGACGAATCAGCCGATTTCATGTTACCAAACAGGCTCGGGCTCGTAAACAATTGAAACAAGATACTCATTTCAGAACTGAAGTAGTATTCCATTTGACATCATCATTTTTATACCGTTTGATTAGTAGTTACAGAGTATTACTTTTTTTTTGGATGAAAGCGGCTTACATTGATATCAAAACATTCGGAGAGGAGGTCAAATGGCAATAAAACCTATGAGAACCGCTGTCCCGCGAACCAGACTCAAAGTTAATCACCTCGGTAATATAACTCGCTGATCCATTTATGGGCACAATGGAGCCAATGACGGTAATCGCAGTTAGATCATCACACACATCCAAACTCAAATCCATTGTCTTACAATTGGAAATAAATAAAAGGAACAAGCCAGAAAACATTAAACAGTCATCTAAGCCCGTCTAACCGCTGACAAGCTTACCCCTCTAAGCCCGTCTCCTCCCCATTTTTTGTTCCGTCTAGTGCCATCTCATCCCCCCTGGTGCTATGCTTCCCCTGCCTCCCAGATGCGTCTGCGCTTCTGTTCCCCTGTTGGTTTCTCATTATGTTTCAGAACCACTTCCTTGGAAGAGCTACTACTCGAGACCACCATATCTTCCTTCTCACCCTTCGCTCCTCCGTTAGACCCCTGATTATCTCAATCCTACGAGTTTTGCTTGAGATTGAGTCTTCTCTGACCAACCATTTATTTTTTCCTGTTGGGCTAGTCTTCACCCCACTGCCTGCCCTAAGCGACACATCAAACCTTTTTTTTTCAAAACTAACCCTTCCTCATACACTAGCAGACAGAATTTTTCTGAGTGACCAATAATGCCACAAATAAAGCAAAAATTTGACAGCTTCTCATATTGAAAATCCACCCAGTACCCAATACCTTCTTTTTTCAGAGTTGTTCATTTTTTTCAAAGGATTTTCCACATTAAGGCAAACTCTGACTCGCAGGTAGGACTTCCACTTTTCACCAAACTGATTCTTATCATAGCTTATGAACCTACCCAAAAAAATTCCACCCTTCTTACAGTGCTTAAATTCAATAAGCAGTAAGGAACATTATGAACACGCACCCAAAATTCTGCCTCATTCAGACAGATCTTATGTGGAATATCAGTAGGTTTAATTTCTTTCACAATCAGTAAATTTCTCTCAAACTGCCATGAACCCCCATCAAGCACACGTTTCATATCTATTGGGTGATTAAAGGTAAAAATATACCTCTTATCATCAATTTCCTTGATCTCCACACCCCTCCCCGGCATCCATAGAGAAGCCATCATTTCCTTGAAAGCTGAGAAATTGATCTTCCTGTCCGTTATCAGCGCAGCAACCACAGGGAAGCCCAACCGAACCTCCTCCCTGGAAACCTCTTCGG